ATCCCTGAACAATCACGGCGGCGTTGTTTGCGGTTATTAAACACTCTACGAGCTTAGAGCCGCCCGGAGCTCATAAAACTATTTAATGAATGTAAACACAGCCTCACTGATTGAGGAAAGATGTAAAGGTTTCGCAAGTGGGCGAGTAAATGCTTGACGAAGCCTGGCTATGGACGGCATTCGTGCTTTTACCAGTTCGTAAGATTGGCGGAAGATCCGCTCTTCACCGGCGCCTGTTCCCTGGTGCACAGTGGCACTCAGTAGCCAGGGCGGTAGCAACAGTGCCATGTGTAGTGTCCCCACGTGGAGGCACAGTGCCAGGCACTGTGCTCTGGTCCAACCACGCTGTTAGCCTCAGAGACAGTTGTTAAAGTGGTGGTGGTTGGTAATGTGGGTTATATTGTAGTTGACACTTTGGATATGCACAGGTGGGGTGGCAAAGTGACACATGTGTACAGGTGGGGTGGCAAAGTGACACATGTGTACAGGTGGGGTGGCAAAGTGACACATGTGTACAGGTGGGGTGGCAAAGTGACACATGTGTACAGGTGGGGTGGCAAAGTGACACATGTGTACAGGTGGGGTGGCAAAGTGACACATGTGTACAGGTGGGGTGGCAAAGTGACACATGTGTACAGGTGGGGTGGCAAAGTGACACATGTGTACAGGTGGGGTGGCAAAGTGACACATGTGTACAGGTGGGGTGGCAAAGTGACACATGTGTACAGGTGGGGTGGCAAAGTGACACATGTGTACAGGTGGGGTGGCAAGTGACACATGTGTACAGGTGGGGTGGCAAAGTGACACATGTGTACAGGTGGGGTGGCAAAGTGACACATGTGTACAGGCGGGGTGGCAAAGTGACACATGTGTACAGGTGGGGTGGCAAAGTGACACATGTGTACAGGTGGGGTGGCAGAGTGACACATGTGTACAGGTGGGGTGGCAAAGTGACACATGTGTACAGGTGGGGTGGCAAAGTGACACATGTGTACAGGTGGGGTGGCAAAGTGACACATGTGTACAGGTGGGGTGGCAAAGTGACACATGTGTACAGGTGGGGTGGCAAAGTGACACATGTGTACAGGTGGGGTGGCAAAGTGACACATGTGTACAGGTGGGGTGGCAAAGTGACACATGTGTACAGGTGGGGTGGCAAAGTGACACATGTGTACAGGCGGGGTGGCAAAGTGACACATGTGTACAGGTGGGGTGGCAAAGTGACACATGTGTACAGGTGGGGTGGCAAAGTGACACATGTGTACAGGTGGGGTGGCAAAGTGACACATGTGTACAGGTGGGGTGGCAAAGTGACACATGTGTACAGGCGGGGTGGCAAAGTGACACATGTGTGTACAGGTGGGGTGGCAAAGTGACACATGTGTACAGGCGGGGTGGCAAAGTGACACATGTGTACAGGTGGGGTGGCAAAGTGACACATGTGTACAGGTGGGGTGGCAAAGTGACACATGTGTACAGGTGGGGTGGCAAAGTGACACATGTGTACAGGTGGGGTGGCAAAGTGACACATGTGTACAGGTGGGGTGGCAAAGTGACACATGTGTGTACAGGTGGGGTGGCAAAGTGACACATGTGTACAGGTGGGGTGGCAAAGTGACACATGTGTACAGGTGGGGTGGCAAAGTGACACATGTGTACAGGTGGGGCAAAGTGGTGTACAAAGTGACACATGTGTACAGGCGGGGTGGCAAAGTGACACATGTGTACAGGTGGGGTGGCAAAGCGACACATGTGTACAGGCGGGGTGGCAAAGTGACACATGTGTACAGGTGGGGTGGCAAAGTGACACATGTGTACAGGTGGGGTGGCAAAGTGACACATGTGTACAGGCGGGGTGGCAAAGTGACACATGTGTACAGGTGGGGTGGCAAAGTGACACATGTGTACAGGTGGGGTGGCAAAGTGACACATGTGTACAGGTGGGGTGGCAAAGTGACACATGTGTACAGGTGGGGTGGCAAAGTGACACATGTGTACAGGCGGGGTGGCAAAGTGACACATGTGTACAGGTGGGGTGGCAAAGTGACACATGTGTACAGGTGGGGTGGCAAAGTGACACATGTGTACAGGTGGGGTGGCAAAGTGACACATGTGTACAGGTGGGGTGGCAAAGTGACACATGTGTACAGGTGGGGTGGCAAAGTGACACATGTGTACAGGTGGGGTGGCAAAGTGACACATGTGTACAGGTGGGGTGGCAAAGTGACACATGTGTACAGGCGGGGTGGCAAAGTGACACATGTGTACAGGTGGGGTGGCAAAGTGACACATGTGTACAGGTGGGGTGGCAAAGTGACACATGTGTACAGGTGGGGTGGCAAAGTGACACATGTGTACAGGTGGGGTGGCAAAGTGACACATGTGTACAGGCGGGGTGGCAAAGTGACACATGTGTACAGGCGGGGTGGCAAATTGACACATGTGTACAGGCGGGGTGGCAAAGTGACACATGTGTGTACAGGTGGGGTGGCAAAGTGACACATGTGTACAGGTGGGGTGGCAAAGTGACACATGTGTACAGGTGGGGTGCCAAAGTGACACATGTGTACAGGGGGGGTGGCAAAGTGACACATGTGTCACTTTGTAGGGTAGGGGAGGGTGTACTGGGGTAGGGAAGGGTGTACTGGGGTAGGGCAGGGTGTACTGGGGTAGGGGAGGGTGTACTGGGGTAGGGGAGGGTGTACTGGGGAAGGGGAGGGTGTACTGGGGTAGGGGAGGGTGTACTGGGGTAGGGGAGGGTGTACTGGGGTAGGGGAGGGTGTACTGGGGTAGGGGAGGGTGTACTGGGGTAGGGGAGGGTGTACTGGGGTAGGGGAGGGTGTACTGGGGTAGGGGAGGGTGTACTGGGGTAGGGGAGGGTGTACTGGGGAAGGGGAGGGTGTACTGGGGTAGGGGAGGGTGTACTGGGGTAGGGGAGGGTGTACTGGGGTAGGGGAGGGTGTACAGGGAAAGGGGAGGGAGGAGGGGAATCTTGTATAGGGAAGGGAGGCCTCATGTGGGGAAGGGAGGTGGGGAACTTGGTGAAACAGGTACGCTTCTTAGAAATGGGGAAGAGGGAGGGTGGAGGGAGGGGGGGGATAGAAAGAGGGGAGGGAGGTGGATGAGAGGGCGGAGGGTAATAGGGAGGGAAGAGGAAGGTAAGGGGAAGGGGGGAAGGGGGTTGGTCAGCGAGTGCCAGGGTGCCACCACTAGCTGGGATATTTTGGCACTCTTTTATAATGGGTGGAAAAATGTTGAGCTGCCATGGTTGTTACTTGTGATCTCTCCCCTGCCCATTCCTCTATTACCTCTCCCATACTTTATTCTCTCTCCCTGCTGCCTTCTCCCTACATTATTGTCTCTCCCTTATTTTCTTTCCCTACTCTATTTTCTCTCCCTACTCTATTTTCTCTTTTCGCTTTTCATCGCTATATTCTACTTTCTCGAATTCATGCTCTCTTTTTGTGCTGCTTCGTTCTTCCTTTCTCCGCTATTCTTCCATTTCTTTGCATCATTCGTTTAGCCTCCGTTGCATTTAATCTTGTTTCCGCCTCCCTCCCACAGATGGCTCTGGGTTAAACTTTGTTTTGACTTGTTAATTCCCTTGGCTTCCTCACTTCTTGCTGGTTTGTATATTTGAGCATATCTTCTTACCTTGATATATATATATATATATATATATATATATATATATATATATATATATATATATATATATATATATATATATATATATATATATATAACTGAAAACTCACACCCCAGAAGTGACTCGAACCCATACTGCCAGGAGCAACGCAACTGGTATGTACAGGGACGCCTTAATCCGCTTGACCATCACGACCGGACAAATTATCCGGTCGAATTATAAATTACAAATGATTAAGGCGTCCCTGTACATACCTGTTGCGTTGCTCCTGGCAGTATGGGTTCGAGTCACTTCTGGGGTGAGTTTTCAGTTGTATATAGTCCTGGGGACCATTCAGGCTTGTTTGCATATATATATATATATATATATATATATATATATATATATATATATATATATATATATATATATATATATGACAGCGTCAGACCACGGAGGAAAATTGAAACAGGAATTTCCTTAAGTACTTTCGTATATTAATACATGTTCACTCCTTCTGAAGATGTATTAATATACGAAAGTACTTAAGGAAGTTCCTGTTTCAATTTTCCTCTGTGGTCTGACACTGTCACATTTTTAATCACGTGTTTATTTTCGTGATACACACACACACACACACACACACACACACACACACACACACACACACACACACACACACACATACACACACACACACACATATATATATATATATATATATATATATATATATATATATATATATATATATATATATATATATATATATAATATGTGTGTGTGCGCATGCGTAAGGATCAATATAGGAACAATTTTACGAGAATAATGTGATCGTTTTCGTGTTTCAACACATTTTCAAAGAATATAAGTTTCCGCATTCTTTGAAAATGTTTTGAAACACGAAAGCTCTCGGGATTATTTTCGTAAACTTTTTTTCCTTCGTGGATACTTAAGCCTAACTGAATCTCGTGTTGTTTTTTTAATTCGCATGTACTCACCTTTTGTACTCACCTATTTGTGCTTGCGGGGGTTGAGCTTTGGCTCTTTGGTCCCGTGTGTGTGTGTGTGTGTGTGTGTGTGTGTGTGTGTGTGTGTGTGTGTGTGTGTGTGTGTGAGTGTTTTGCTTGCTTATCAAAAAACTTTAGTTTTTCATATTTCTCTTTTTTTCCATTCTGATTGAATTTGTTTTACTCCCATTTTTTCCACATCTTACATCTCAAAAAAATTTATAAAGAAACTCAATATTATAATATTTTGTTTATGAAGTGAGAGATCAGTCATCGGAAAACATTACAGCGTTACTTTGTATTTACAATCCGGTACTACAGTCCACCTGAAATAATCCTAATGTACGTTTTCTATCATTCAGGAGCTGACGTAGGCGCGAAAACACTCTTAACTTTGAACGAGAAATAGCGAAAATAAAAAGGGAGAGAGAAAGTGAAAGAGAGAGAGAGAGAGATAAAGGAAAGTGAAGAACAGCGACTCTTAGCATCTCTCCTGCCTAAAACTGTGTTGCCGGCGGGATAACATAGGAGGAAGAACATTTTTGTCTGTGCGGCGAGTGTTGGCAAGTGTTGGCAAGTGTTGGCAAATGTTGGCTTGTAAACAAGTGTTGAGACGCTCTGGTTCCCAGTGCCGGTGCTGGGCGCTGTGAAGCGCTGGTTCTTGTGACAGTGGCGGCCCTTGGTGCCGGCAGGACAACACCAGTGAAAGCAAATTGGCCCCTAAGGGCGAGGTTGCCATATATATATATCTCCGTGTGTAGCCTATCGTATGGCCTGAGACTCCGCAGATCAGACTACACTGATCGCCAGCATGTCTTGACATAGTGATGGTGTAGAGTTTTCTGAAACAGTAAAGAAAGATTAGAAGTTTAGGCGTGTTAGAAGACTTGGGGGGAGGAGGACGGTGGTTATAATCTAACCGGTTAAAAGGGGGCGGGGAGGGTGGTTGTTTTGCTGCGGAATTTGAAAATTTGAATCTTGTTGTTGGTTGAGGAAGATGGTGGGACAGCTGGTGGTGGAGGACGAATATACCATTAATGTGAAGCTGCGGCGGCCGCTGCACGATGGGGGGTGCCTGCCGCCGCCCACCATCACCATCATCCCTGACGCCCCCACCGTCACCATCACGCCCCCGCCCCATGCCACCCTCCGGCAGGTGCAGGCGGCCAAATCAGTCAACGGGGCGCCTCCTGTGAGGGTTGGCTGTGCCAGGCGGCACCGCCAAGTCGCCAGTGAGTCACACTCGCCTCACTTGAGCATCATGCCGCCGCCGCTACTCCGTCGGTGCCAGCAGGAGGCACCGGCCCCCGAGGAGCAGGTGACCCTCGGGTGCCTGCCGCTGGTGCAGGTGTACGCTGACGACAACACCCTGGTGGCCACCAACAAGTACTTACAACCCTCCGGGTCTCCTCCACTCCCGGTCTCCCCTGACGATGCCTTGGCAGTGCCACAAGGGTGCCAACTGGCTCCTGGCACCCTTTACGTACCTCGCATCCCCGCCCACTGCAAGTCTGACAGCGGGGTGCTCTACGTCCCGCCCGTCGAGGAGGACAAGTTGAGGGTGAGGAAGAAGGAGGAGCCGCCAGCGAAGGGCAACTCCCGCAGAGTAAAGAAGAGCAGCAGCACGGTTGGGCAGCGCCAGGTGGCATCCAGTGCCACGCCCCCAGGCCGAGGGGCACGCAGGAGCGAGTCTTCTAAAGCAGCCGCACGCGCCCTCCTGTCGGAGGTGCTGGGATCACGCCTGGAGGCCAGGCCGCCCTCCCCACGACCTCCATTTCCTCGCCCCTTCAACTCCCACCTCAGTTCTATCACCAACAATCAGTTCACGGCCTCTAACTATCAGAGGAACAGCGCTGTTGACTACAACAACCTGAGGAACAGCGGTGTTGACTACAACAGTCAGAGGAACAGCGGTGTTGACTACAACAGTCAGAGGAACAGCGGTGTTGACTACAACAGTCAGAGGAACAGCGCTGTTGACTACAACAGTCAGAGGAACAGCGCTGTTGACTACAACAGTCAGAGGAACAGCGCTGTTGACTACAACAGTCAGAGGAACAGCGGTGTTGACTACAACCACAACACCGTCAGTAGTGGTCATGACGCAAGCCTCAACATCAGTTTTGGGACGCCGTCTCGAACAGGTAAGGTGCCTCAGTTTTGTGCCTCATAGGTTTCCAGGCCACCTTTGTCGTTTCCAGGCCACCTTTGTCGTCTCCTGACCACCTTTGTCGTCTCCAGACCACCTTTGTCGTCTCCAGACCACCTTTGTCGTTTCCAGACCACCTTTGTCGTTTCCAGGCCACCTTTGTCGTCTCCAGACCACCTTTGTCGTTTCCAGACCACCTTTGTCGTCTCCAGACCACCTTTGTCGTTTCCAGACCACCTTTGTCGTCTCCAGACCACCTTTGTCGTTTCCAGACCACCTTTGTCGTCTCCAGACCACCTTTGTCGTCTCCAGACCACCTTTGTCGTCTCCAGACCACCTTTGTCGTTTCCAGGCCACCTTTGTCGTCTCCTGACCACCTTTGTCGTCTCCAGACCACCTTTGTCGTCTCCAGACCACCTTTGTCGTTTCCAGGCCACCTTTGTCGTCTCCAGACCACCTTTGTCGTCTCCAGACCACCTTTGTCGTCTCCAGACCACCTTTGTCGTTTCCAGACCACCTTTGTCGTCTCCTGACCACCTTTGTCGTCTCCAGACCACCTTTGTTGTCTCCTGACCACCTTTGTTGTCTCCTGACCACCTTTGTCGTCTCCAGACCACCTTTGTCGTCTCCAGACCACCTTTGTCGTTTCCAGGCCACCTTTGTCGTCTCCTGACCACCTTTATCGTCTCCAGACCACCTTTGTTGTCTCCTGACCACCTTTGTTGTCTCCTGACCACCTTTGTCGTCTCCAGACCACCTTTGTTGTCTCCTGACCACCTTTGTTGTCTCCTGACCACCTTTGTCGTCTCCAGACCACCTTTGTTGTCTCCAGACCACCTTTGTCGTCTCCAGACCACCTTTGTCGTCTCCAGACCACCTTTGTTGTCTCCAGACCACCTTTGTTGTCTCCAGACCACCTTTGTCGTCTCCTGACCACCTTTGTCGTTTAGGGGGGGCGGAAATATCATATCTGCCAATCATTTGTGATTTACATAATTCAAGTAATTGACACAAAATAATTGATATGAGTTAATTTATGACTTCAAATACAATAAGATAACACAAAATAATTATAAGAAAATTCCCAATAATTCTCAATTGCTTGTGCGGTAACGAAGTTCTCTCTCCTCATTGTTGTATGGTAAGGGAGTACTCTCTCATAGTTACCTTGTATGATAACTAAATGTTCTCTCCTCATTGTTGTATGGTAAGGGAGTACTCTCTCATAGTTACCTTGTATGGTAACTAAATGCTCTCTTATAGTTACCTTGTATGATAACTAAATGCTCTCTCCTCATAGTTGTATGGTAAGGGAGTACTCTCTCATAGTTACCTTGTATGATAACTAAATGCTCTCTCCTCATAGTTGTATGGTAAGGGAGTACTCTCTCATAGTTACCTTGTGTGGTAACGTGCACTAACCAGGACACAACGCACGACAGAAGAAAAGCGTTAGTTCTCCAGACAGTGCGACATAGTAACTGTCAGGATCTGGCGAAGCTACCGTTACCTGTGGCAGGTGGCTACCGTTACCTGTGGCAGGTGGCTACCGTTACCTGTGGCAGGTGGCTACCGTTACCTGTGGCAGGTGGCTACCGTTACCTGTGGCAGGTGGCTACCGTTACCTGTGGCAGGTGGCTACCGTTACAGTTACCTGTGGCAGCTACCGTTACCTGTGGCAGGTGGCTACCGTTACCTGTGGCAGGTGGCTACCGTTACCTGTGGCAGGTGGCTACCGTTACCTGTGGCAGGTAGCTACCGTTACCTGTGGCAGGTAGCTACCGTTACCTGTGGCAGGTGGTTACCGTTACCTGTGGCAGGTAGCTACCGTTACCTGTGGCAGGTGGCTACCGTTACCTGTGGCAGGTGGCTACCGTTACCTGTGGCAGGTGGCTACCGTTACCTGTGGCAGGTAGCTACCGTTACCTGTGGCAGGTAGCTACCGTTACCTGTGGCAGGTGGTTACCGTTACCTGTGGCAGGTGGCTACCGTTACCTGTGGCAGGTGGCTACCGTTACCTGTGGCAGGCGGTTACCGTTACCTTTGGCAGGTACCTACTTTTACCTATGACAAGTGGGTACCGTTTCCTGTGACAAGTGACTATAAATGAAGAATCTCCCACTCCATATGTAAACTCTGTGATAACGAACTGAGCTAACATTATCTTTAATATTATACTGTTGAATATCTAGACCCTTCAGACCAGCCGGAACGAGGTACCTGGAGCATTGCAATTACTTTATACACACTCTCGTGTCCTTAAGAACATCTTCAAGACGCATTCGAAATTTGCCGGCGAGATGGGGATGGGCGGGGTACTTAGCGGTTGACATATTAAGAGAACAAACATGGCAGTCTCACCTGACCGGATCTCTGACCACGTGGGCTGCTTGCCGGGAGGTTTGTTTACAAACATAAGGGCTGCCAACCTTCCCGCTGAGATAACGTCCTTTGTGTGAGCCGCGGGAAGGTACCCCTGTTTCAGGGATATTTGATTAGTTATCCTCTGTTTTATGTTATGGAAGCAGGTGGAATCTGTTCAGTAATGTTAAGAGTGGAAGAATGCTCTCAATTTACCTGAGGACTAACATCTCTTAGTGGCCTCGATGGGGCTAGGAAGCCGGCGGCATGTCAAAGGTCCCCCCCCCAAAAAAAAATCCTGTGGCCCTTAGATAACTGACTTCTTAGTGTCTAATCGATAACTTAGCTCCTAATAGAGGACTCAAGTGTCCTTCGTCTTGTTGTTTTGCATCTTAAAAATGTGATCAGAAGGTGAGGCTTCCGTCAATATTAGGTCGTACCGTCTCCAGGTGGTCGTGTCTTGAACCAGTGTAATGGTTTATGAGCAATGGGGGGTTACCCCTCGCCCTACCATACACGGGAATGAACCAGGGTCCCTCCATTGTGAGTGGAGGACCTAGACCTCTCTGCTATAGAACCCTCATAAACTGTACAGCCTCTGTTGTCAATCATGGTCGCTGTGATGAAGACACCTTCGTAGTTATGTTAAGAATTATAAGTTGAGGGTGATGACCATCGGCGGAGTCCATGTTGAGTGATTAACACACAGAACAACTGTTGTTGGAGGGCCACCTGCCCCGAGGACTGTCATCCCTTCCTGCTGCCCTTACTACTTTCACAAGGTCTTGTCTCAATCCACCAGGTCAAGTGGTGACCAGGCAGTGACACGAGGGGTCTACGCCCATACTTTCCCAGCCTTCATGCGACCATCACACTACCCTCACACTGGACGCTTCCATCAACATACTGGCTACTGAGGTGCCATTTCGCCTTCGTCCGTCTGCATTGTTGGGGGAGAACAGGAGAGCCAGGTTGCGTCTCTTGACACCGATGTCAACAATCTCACACTTAACAGAGTGAGGTCATCTGCCGAAGGCTGTCTTAATATCTCCCCCCCTCCCCACCACCCGAAAATCCACTTCCAGAAGGCCTTGGACCATCAGATCCTGCACGTGTGTGTGTGTTAGTCTACAGGGCCTCGTCACAGCCCATCACATTACCTCCAATGTGTGATGATGGTCACAGCAAGACATGAACCTCCAGAGGTTCCCGACCTCTTTAGCAGAAGATTGAGGTATGGAATCCTGCTGGACCCGTCACCTGGTGCTACATAGCCTTCCCGGCTTGGTGCCTTTTTTGATAATTACTTGGACCCGTCGCCTTGCATCCCTTTCAACAGAATTATCTTTCTGTCATTGAAGACGTGATTTCCTAATGTCATTCGGAAATGTCACCTGCTGTTAGGTGGCAGGCAGTTGTCACCGGAGTGTCGGACTGCGGCCTCGACATTCCAATTTCCTATGTTTATGATC